CCTCTTTTCCAGGAGTTATGCACTTAGGTCCTTACCTAAGCAAAAACACAAAACTAGTTAAGTAAAATGAACTAATTCTAAGAAACACCCCTAATTCTCCATTAATTTCAGAGTAGATTGTAATGCTTTTTTTGTAACAAATTAACCATTATCACCTGCACACTACTCAGACGAGTCAAATTTTGACTTGGCTAAGTCAGATCTCAGCTTTTTAAGTTCATTAACATAGCTGCCATCTGAGCTTGAAGGTGAGTATTTTCATCTTACACCAAAACTCCAGCTTTCTTCACCTCTGCTCTGGTGTCTATCTGCTTTCTAAAATGATTAACAGCCATGTTCTACAACAGTTGCTTGGCTTCATCAACTATCCTCAACATGAAAACTCCTCCAGATGCAGAATCTAAAAAGTCCCTTGATGACTGTGTTAATCCATTATTAACAATCCCAAGCTGCATATGCTCTTCAATACCATGTTGTGGACATTTTCTCAACATCTCCTTAAACCTTTCCCATGTTCCATATAAGGTCTCATTCCCTTGCTGCTGATAAGTCATAATTGTAGTTTTGAAGTTGGCAGCCTTGGATGGTTGGAAACATTTAGCTAGGAATGCTTGTCTCCACGCATTCTAGCTTATAGTTGAATTATGTGGGAGCGTGTTGAGCCATGTCTGAGTCTTGTCCTATAGAGTAAATGAAAATAGCCTTAATTTCACATCAGCACCAGATAGTCCTGTATCTTGAAAGTGCTACACAATTGCAGAAATGTCGTGATGTGATCATTAGGGTCTTCACTGGCTAATCCGTGGAATGGAAAACCAGCATATTGAATCATTTTGCTCTTCAGCCCGAAGTTGTTTGCTTCAACATCACAGTAACCAGAGGAGATTCCACTTCCTCCTCCTAAAGAATGACATAACCTTTGATTAGCCCTGTGGTGGATTGTAGTCTCCATTTCCCTGATTCTCCTAGTGTTCTGCATCGATCTCCTCAAATTCAGACTCTTGTTGCCAATGAAAAATTTGATCTCTCTTCAAAGATAGAGCCTTACATACTGTGGTTTCAATTTCAGGATCAAACAGCAAAGTGCCACAGGGATTTCTTCTGGTCATACAGCAGGAAAAAAAAACTAGATCTAAATCTATGAAAACAAAAATCAAAAGAAAAATAATAAAAGCTTGAACTAAGAAGGTTCAAAGATATTTAACGCTGTCACTGGCAACGGCACCACTTTTCTGGTTCACATGCAACTTTTTCAAATACGCCAGGAAGAAAACTAACTCAAAACTAGTAGATAGTAAGTCGATTCAAATCCATTAGGATGGACATGACTGTCTAAAAATCGCCTAAAGCACAGGAAAATCGAACAAAAATAATAGGAAAGTGGGTTGAAATGGCCACTCACCCGAGTGTTGTCAGTACTCGCGTGAGTGATGGTCTCTCTCACGGAGCCAAAACACATAAAAAGTAAATAATGAGTGAGAAGTAATAATAAGCAGGCAAAGAATGAAAGCTGACAACTTAAGCAAGAAAACAGGGAGAATAAAAAGAGTAAAACAGTATGGCGATCCTCCCCACTTCTATGTAACTTTCACAGTGATTATGCATTCATGTGGTGTGAAATGTGTTCGATCAGGTGCTAATATACCCCTAAGTCTCTACCGATGTTCTTAAGGAAGTCCGTCCAGTGACTAACAAGCTCTCTTCCGCGTAAAATGTTTAAGTCCTACCAGGCAATCAAGCGCTAGAGTTTTATTGATCACTTGCCAACTAGGTATCTTTTGATCCTAGTTGAAACCTTAGATTCTTACCTATAAGTCACCAGCAATTTCTAGTTGTTCTAAACTAAGTTTACCCTTATGAGATTCTCCCAGTATCTATGTGCAAGTGCCTAGTTTATCAGGCTACAGATAAGATTAATTTAAACACTAAAACTGGGCACACTTACATCATCTGAATGCAAATCTAAAGTATTTTTACATAGAAAGAGGGATATAACTGCAACAAAACACTTAGCTATTCATTATTTTAAATACAAAATCCATGTAGAACTATGCAAAAAAAAAACTTGGTTATAAGGTAAGAGAGAGAAAAAAAAAAGAGCTAAACATACAAGCTTTTGCAGAATAGCAAACCTCAGGTGAGTTGGAATGTCACTCACCTGAGCGTCTATCTCTGATAAACTCCCTAAGAGTCTCTTTTGCAGAGCTCTCTCCTTACTCTCTACTCAGATAAACCCTAATTTCTCTACACCAGATTGTGCTTCCTTTTGTGCTCTCTTGAATGTGCATCATTTTCTCTTTTATAGAGTGGCAGCAGCTTGATTCTTCATCCGGATTCAGCCACATACACCAGCTATCTATTCATCAAGAACGTCCATTTTTCTCCCTTGGCTTTTCGGGTGTGATTTTGGTTGCTTCTTCTTGGCATTATGTTGAATTTCAGGACCACAACATTCACCTATGATGGGTCTTCCTTGGCCTCTAAGGTTTAATTTCTCAATTCGGTGAAGGATCAAGCCTTGTAAGTGGTCCCGAAAGTGTCTCCTGGAATCAGCCCTTTTCGTAAAGTGGTCCCGGAAATGTTTTCAGAATTGCACTTCAGTCCAATTGCCAAAGCTTTGTATTTTCATGAATTTTTCCCTGAACTTTTGGTAAGTTTGTACTTGGTATCTGATCAGAAGAAAGTACAAAAATAACTTATAAATATACGATTCCTATCTAATTACTACTATGTGGCAATGAAAAAGTGACTGAAAGTAATGCTTATAATCATATAAATTTGACACTCATCACTTTTCAGTGGTTTTGTTAAACTCCTTCATAAGTCTTGATGAAAATAATCAACTAACAGACCTGGGATTGGGATCAAAAGTTGGGACTGCTTTGAGGTTGTCCTCTTTGGGTTTAAATTGTTTGCTTCATAGAAGTATCATTATGTAACTCTCATCTAGTGACCAAGGGATGATGAGGAGAATTGAGCAGAAATCTTCTTCATTGCTAACTCGGTAAAGATGATAGCCCTTTTAATCTCCCTTTGGTTTCTATAGCGCTATTAGTCTTCTGAAAAGTCTATTATGTTGGAATTCTTTACCCAGTGGTCTGATTGCAATAGTGTATTTCATTGATGTTTCCATTTAGCGGTGGACTCTTTTGGAGAAATCAGTTGAGGGGACGCCATCTTTCTCACTGTATGATATATCACCTTATTCAATTTTGGCCTTGGTCATGTGGAATTCGTTTCTGATCTGATTGTTTTGTTCTCCTAATAGACGGTCCTTGAAAGATGGAGCTCCATCAGTCCCGGAGTCTTGCCTAATTGAGTTGTAGTTTCTAACTGAGTACTTGTGTTCGAGTTTTGGTCTTCTTGTTCCTTATTTTTCTCTTTCTGGGTGACTAGGTTGTCTTTTTCTTGGACCATGTGGGGTGATTCTTCCATCTTCGAATCCATCGGAGAGAAAGAGAGAATCAGTGAATTAGGATCAACTGACAAAATTCGCATGTAGAGAGAGATTTATGAGAGAGGGGAACATGAGTAAGGGGTAATGGATACATTAAAATGATTTCCAATGATGTATACCAAACACTTACAATGAAAATCATGGGCCCCCAATCTCATTGAGCCCTTTGATTGAGCCCAACTATACGGCCCCTTACTTTCAAAAAGTGAAAAACAATGAAAAATACATGAATCATATGTAGATAAAAATGTGCGATAAAAAGGTGCTCCCAAAAGACTAGATGGATTATGTGTTATTTACTGATGGGAAATTTCATAGAGATTTGGGTTTGATTGATGGAGGAAATTTGTGATAAGATTTGTTAAGAATTCAAAATTTGATATCTAGGGATTTAATTAGTTTTGAAGATACCACGAGAAAATAGTTTTGTTGAATTAAAATGTCCATACTTAATTCAAGTTGCTTATCAATTTAGTGGGAACTGTGGATCACTATTTATTATGAATTTTGGTTTGTTGGCCTCCAATTTTGAATTTTTTTAGAGGGAAAAATTCTGGCCAAATTGATAAACAAATCAGACCAAAAAAAAATCTGGTCAAATTTTCATGGCACCCCATTAACAAAAAAATTCATTAATTATGTTAAAAATTTTTTTTTTCAAATCAATGTATGTTTGAAACTTGTAATCAAATGTGTTTAGTGCAGCATCCACTAACCTCGTTTAATAGCAGACTAGCAGTAACGGAGGAAGCAAATTAATAAGCAAATCAGACAAAAACAAATTCTGGTCAAATTTTCATGGCACCCCATTCATACAATATTAATCATGTTTTACAATTTCTTTTTTCTTTTTTTGCAAATCAATGTATTTTTGAAATTTGTAATCAAATGTGTTTAATGGATTAGATACTTATCTGTAGTTTATAAGGGTATTTTAGAAAGATTAAATTAAAAATTATTAACTAATTTAGTTTTGTTAATATGTGTGAAATTAGTATAAACATAGTGACTCGGGACGGAGAGAGTAATAAAGAACTATAAATCTTTTATTAGGAAAAAGAAAAAAAAACTATATACGGCCTTTAAGTTTGTTTCCCTCGGGCCTTGGGAAAAGAGTTCACTGAATAACGAGAGCACAAATTTACTAATTCCCTTTACATTTTTCCTACTTAGGACATCTAACCAAGAATTAGGATTTAAGACCCTACTTTTCCTAATTACAAACTAGAGTAAAACTATAAAAGTATCTGCAATGCTGTAAAATCCTTATACCAGTGTATTCATAATCAATTAATTTTGAGATAGATACATTGTGTTAGTATCGCGGATTGGTAAACATAAACTTTCAAACATATAAAGACCGTAAATATTTTCAGACCATGCTGTAGCCGATTGTTTTGAAGAATATGGCGCACTTATGTACAAGATATAGAGGCAATAAGCTTTGCACATTTTACATTTATAGTGACCAAACAATATATAGCTTTGAAAATGTAAAGACAAGGCTCCGCAAACTTCATAAAGTATAGTAACCACTTAGCTTGTTCGGATTAATCTGGAAGAAAATTGGAAATACTAGATGAAATACTCGAAACCAATTTATTTATTTTAAAAAATTATATTTATAATTATTGAAGTTTCATAGTATTTTCCAAAGACAGTGGCACCGTCGTCTGAAATGAGCTCATAAAATGGCTTATTACACCTATGAAAAATCGAACGCACTACTCTAAACAATGGAATCCACAAGAGGTGTTCAATACTACGGATGGTAAATATGTAATGCTGAATTAACTATTTCCAATCATGTAGCCGTTGTATGTATTGAACTTCTCTGTTGTTTGTCGGCAAATTCTCATCTGCGAAAGTAATAACATATGGTAACACAAATGTCAAAAACTATTACCGAATATGAACAGTTGTCGTTTTTTTTTTTCTAAATGGACAATGTTGAAATATGAAAAGTTGCATGAGCAATAACAATATTTAATTTTTAAATCAAATAGTATAAAAGGGAAAAGGGAAAAAAAAAATCCTTTTGGATGCCATACGTGATAGAAAAAAGAAGCACAAATTTTTTTTTGAATTGAGGGCCAGAAAGATATGAATATGATAATTGGCCAATACCTCTACGAAAATAACCTTCCAAGTAAAATGGCGAAGAAGACAATAGCTCCGAAATATTTGTTGGATCGAAATCTGTCGAGAGACAAGAAAAAATGAAACAAAGTTAATGGACAAAGAATAACAAAATGATGAGCAAAACAGCAAAACATTACTCTTCATTCCAAAATAATAATTATATATGTATAAAATTAAAAATAATCTAAAAATGAGAATAATTATTTTGGAACTGAAAAAGTATGAATAATTAACAGTATAGAAAACCCACTTTCTGCCACAATCTGCAGGATTTTCAAGGTCAACTGCCCAAATCTGCCAAGCTATTTGAGCTGCAGCAGGTACCATAAGTGCATAAAACGGCCACCCTGTTTGTCAAAGTGCAAAAATACATAAAAAATTTTATTACACAAAACGAAAGAAAACAGAATTCAAACGTATTTTAATGCAGATTATCACAAATATATGTTCTGGACCTCATACAACTTAATTTGTTCACCATTATGTTTAGAGCTAAAATATCTTTGAGTTAATATTTAGTCCTATTGATCATTGCACGAAACATGTACAATTGAACATGAATTAACAGTATGCCACGAACTCACGAAGAAAGGAAAAAAGAAAATAGTGTGTTAATAGGTACCAATATTTGCATTGAATCCACTTAGTGCGAAACTAGCAACTGATGCGATTCCAAAAACGCTAGTCCATAGCTTTGTTGTATCTCCAAGCAACAATGCTGTAGATTTGACTCCTACTTTCACATCATCTGTTTTATCCTATAGATAACATCAACATTTTAACCAAAAAATATTGTAATTAAGAAAATGCCTATCATTTTGTATTTAAAAAAATGGTGCATGTACATATTTTAAAAATCTTGTCAATCTAACTTAGTAGTCGACAAAAACTTAGGAACACGGCTCTGTATCCTAATTATAAAATTGACAATAAGGACTCCCAAAACTGTGTATGGTTGTCAGACGAAAAAGAAAAAATAAAACTCAAACTAGCTAAAAAAAAAAGGTTCATTAATACGCTTTATTCCCTAGAAAAATAAGTTACTTCTTCTTTAAATTAAGACAACATAATGTAAAATGGGTTATTTTTTCTGGAAACGGGAGGATGGATTTCATCATTTTCCAAGCGAAATAGACAAAAACTTACCTGATGGGCATAAATTGTATCCACTTCAAGGGTCCAGAAGAAGCAACCAATTAGGAGTGGGAAAACAATGCCAGGATGAAGGGTTCCTTTAATAGCAGCCCAAGAATACAAAGCTCCCCAGTTTGCAGTAAGACCAAGATGAGCTTGAGGCTGCATCAACATAATGCAATAGCATTTTAAGATATATATATATATATATATATATATATATATATATATATATAAAACTCACGGATCTTAAGCCCAATTTTTTATGTAAAAATTAAAGGAGTTTTGTTCTTTTTTTTTTTTTTTGGAAAATGAATTAAAGGAGTTATATGAAGCAAAATCACCAGAATTAAATTTTGTTTTAGATGCAGAGAAAACAAAACGAAGAGTATTACTTAGGGGGGTTTTTTTTTTTAAAAAAAAGAAGAGGTGGGTCGATAAGAAAATAAATAAATGGTAAAACATAAGGGAGGGAATACAAAAAAAAAAAAAGCAGAGGAATAGAATAAACAAAGAATAATAAAAGGTACAGTTCTGTCCCAAAATTATTGCCCAGTTTAAGATTTCACTTTTAATATAATTTGAATTAGAAATGAAAATTCAAATTGGACAATAATTATGGGACGGAGAGAGTAAATTATATGGAGTAGTGATATAATACCCAATATGTGATTCTCTTCATGAGCGGGTAGGTAAAGATCAATGGCAATGAAGAAACCCATAACAGCCGACTGCAAATGGACAAACAACTGGAATCAACTTTAGATCTTATATCTCAATTTTATTTACCACAATAAACATTTTACAAACACATTTTCGTTAATTTTATATGAAATTTTTTTTGCATTCCCATATGATACAAAAATAAAATTTAAAAAAGAAGAAATTTCTAAGACTACAGGTTTTTTTTTTTATGGAAATGAAGACCACAATTACCCACGAAAAAAATGAAAAATTAAAGGATAATGTTACTCAAATTAGGAAATCGAAACTTGATGGACAATGTTGTACTGTATACAAGTGAAAGTGGACCCATTGGCACGATGCTAGTCAACCACTGCAACTACTTGAAGTTTACTCGGCCCTCAATTTAATCCTTAAGAGAGTTAAATTGTAATTATACATATGTGAAAAATCGACTCTATAAATTTATGTAAGACTGTCTGTTGTAAGCACATTACATTTTCCACAATTTAATGTTTTTTATTAGAATATTAGTAAATTGATAAATGAACTAATGGTCGAATAAATAAGAAAAAAAAAGTGAGTTAGAATCGTGACATAAAACTTCTGTTAAACTTAACTGACACCATCAATTAATTTCTCTAACAAGTGAGAATAGAAACTTACATAGTCCAATTATTTATGAATCTCAATTTTTTTCATTTTTGAAACATATGAATCTGAATTATTCGACAAAAGATCGATTCCATCAGCCAAGTTGTGGTTGATTGAAAATTCAAAATTCTCACAAACCTTAATTCGTTAACAGGCAGCATAAAGGCATAACCCAATACTAATTGAGCAGCAAGGAATATGAGTGCTTGAAGCCCTGAAATGGCCCCTGACGCAATGGGCCTTCGTTTTGTTCTCTCAACCTGTATAGTTTTCAACAACAAACCCTTATTATTTATAATAATTAACGTTGTTACCCAAGCCAATTTTGATATAGTCCTTGAACTAATCACTTGTAAATTATATTGATCAAGAGTTTATAAGACAAATGACCCTATTTTCCAACGGCGTAGGAACAATAAAGTGAAATTACTATACATGGTTGAATATTAGTTTTTAATAAGGACAAATCTCAAAATTCTATTTAGAGTTTTTTTTTTAGACGGATAGAGTAATTAAGAGAATCCGAAAAATAAAGAGATATATGGAAGAAAAAGAACATATTGAAAAAAATTTTACCTTGGAATCAAAGTCCTTGTCAAAATAATCATTGATGGTGCAGGCAATGTTTCTGGACCAGAAAGAAATAAAGAAAAAGAAGGCCAACATTTTCCAATCTGGAAACATCCCTGGTTCGGCCGCGAGTGCCAACGACCACATACACGGCCACCCGAACAGAAACGTACCGATCGGGCGGTCCAACCGGACTAAGTAGGCGTAGGGCTGAATTTTCTCGGGTAACAAATCAATCCAAGACACAATCATCTCATCTTCCTCCACGTTTTCCTCACCAGCAGCGCCAGCCGCCTTCGTCGTTGCTGAGAATTGCGGAGCTTTCGCGAGAGCTTTCGAGTTTTCGGCCCACGGTAAAATCGAAGCCTGCTTCTTGTTGAAAAGAGCTGAAGGGTTTTTGAAAGTGTCATTGGGAAGATTAGCAGCTTTAATGGTCGATTGGAATGGTTTGAAGGACGAGTTAGGGAGAGATGTGTAAACCCGGGTCCGATTCTTCAAGTTTAAGATGGAGTAAGTTTGAGAGGTGGAAAGGGAAGAAGAAGCCATTTTTTGTGTTTTTGAATTTGATCGCTCAGTTGAAGGCTTTTTTTTTTTTTTTTTTGGCTTTTTGAACTTCAAAGAAATGGCTGATCGACTGTTTGGACAGTGGAGGTTAGCAAATATGTGAATGTATATATATAATCGTGGAGGATCCCTTTTGGCATGTTTCATGCGATTTTTATAATAATATAATAGTCCATATGTATAGATTATGGCAAGAACTGCACCAATGCATACTTTTCTTATATGTTCGTAGGAGTAGCTTTGTGTAAAAATTAGAGTAGCATTTATTTGAAATTGAAATGTCAAACAAAGAGTGAAAATTACTTTCGTTAGGTTAGTATATAAAGGAGTGGCGGTACGTAATTTAACATGCATATCATTAGTTTGTCGATAAAATAAACGAATGAAAAATAGTACACAGACTTTCGACGTTGAAGTAATTATTATAAATCATTATATGGTACTCCTGTAATATCATTGTTTAACTAAATTTTTACGGGATATGGTCCTTGATGAAATGTGTATCAATGTTATATCTTATTTTTCGTTTGTGTTAACCAAAAAAATATTGTAAATTTATTAATTTAAGATGCTTTATTACAAGGATATTAATGTTAGAATTAATTTACATAATTTAAATTTAATGTCTGAGAAAAAGTTATGAACAAATGGATGCTATTTTAGTTGTTACTATAATGTATAGACATATACACATTACTGACATGGAGAGCTCGAATCTACTGTACTAAAACGTCATTTTAAGAAAGAGAAAAGTTTTCTTAAAATTTGAATGATTGTCTCAAATGGTGAACCGCCATCAGAATTGAATCTGACAGGACTAAACGAATAAAATAATCAAGCTTGGCCACGCCACCTAGCTTGTTAGTGAAGTTGGTTTGATTCACAAACGATATAAAATTCCAAATGCAACGCCCTTCACTTTTACCAAATTACAAAATTAGCCGAACAACTTGGATAAATTCTAAAGGAGAAAAGAAAATAAAATAACAAGTCCCGGTATATGCTGTTCATTTTGCATCCTTTCGAACTATTAACATAAACTCACTTAAAATAAAATTCCAATTTCTAAAACATATTTATATATTTTTTTTTAAAGATTAATGAATTTATTGATAATGATCAATTCATAGATACAAAGTGAAATTGATTGAATTTTTATGATGAATATGAATATGATGAGATCGATGGAGGGAGTAAGAGGAGATCACCAAGTTATTTTGAAATTCAATGGCTAAATTCATCAAACATTTATATGCAATGGGCTAAACGTTTAAATTAGGATCTAAAATATATTGCCAATATGCGAAAATTTGACGACTTTTCTTGCAATTACCACACACACAAAAAAAAAGAAAAAGAAAGCAATAAAAGTAAAAGGCTCCCTATTTTATATTCGTTTTCAGAAGACAATCACAAAGATTTACGTACTGACATCCCAGAATCCAGATTACACATTTATAAATCCCAAAATGTTGACTAGCTGGCTATCGGACTGCAGACTGCTAAATTTTCATATATTATTAAAAAAATAATAATGATAAGTACTCCTTCCGGTCCTTAATATAAGATATTTTAATTTTGTTCTGGTTTCACCTAGTACGCATTTTTAATTGACAAAAAAAGCTTAAGAAATATATGTTTACATTTATTGTATTCTCTTGATTGTTATGAAATATTTTTAATATTTTTTGTTAATTAAAAATACATACTAAGTTAAACCTTGAACAATCAAAATGTTTCATATCAAGGACCGGAGGGAGTATATTTCAGTTCAGTGAACATAAAAAGATACGAAGGCCTATCATATTGTAATTTAATAAACATCAGATTATAAAGTCGATAGACGATAGTTTCACATTTTCAAATCAAAAGCCATATTTTCTGTCGATAATTCCCATTAAATAATAATTAATATTGAAGCCTGTAAGTTAGAACAATTACTTCCTGAAGGGGTAAAAAAACTAGAAAAAAAAATCATCTCCACAAATGATCGTAGACAATAGTGGCGATCTAATTGACTGGGCAGCTGACATGCATGACTTTAAAATTCCAAAATGTTGACTGATTTGCACCCACTTTGACTACTTCTGTTTCGTGAATGGCGAAACAAGCCACAGACTATCATCGAACAAAATATACCAAAATATTTCATCAAATAATTAAAGTGGGAAACCTTTTACTTATTTTTACTCTTTCGCTCTCGACAATGAAAAATAGTTTTTAAATACGCATATCAACGATACAGTTACTGTTTGCTAGCTAGTTAGTAGTTACTACCCTTGTTGGAAGATTGATCTTCCACTGAGTTGATGAATTTCACTATCAGATACTCCTCCCGGTTCTTATTATAAGACAATTTGATTTCGTCCTAGGTTTCATCTAAGATGTCTTTTTAATTAGAATAAAAATTTTAAAAATATTTCATAATATTAGAAGAATACAACGAATGTGAAAATATATTTTTAAAGTTTCTTTTCCAATCAAAAAGATATCTTAGGTTAACCTAAGATGAAATCAAAATGCCTTAAAGATTGGAGGGAGTATAAGTTATATATTTTGCATTCAGATAGTTCATTTTGGTTAAATGAGGATTATTTAAGTGGAAGGGCGAAAAAAAGGAATCATGTAATCTGCGCAACACGTAAATAATCATATTTAGTTCTAAGAAATAATGTTCCCTTCTGTCAAAATTTGCGATTGAAAGATGGTCTATAATTTCTCATAAGGAATGGAAGAAAATCAATTTTCATCCAAAAGAAAACACCAAAATATATTCACTTTGTCCAAGATGATAGTGTTGCTTTGATTTGTAACCATTATAAAATTCAAACCCAATAATCATTTTAGAACAGAAAGAGTAAAAAAATGTCAAAAAAACTTTATATGAAGTGTATATCATGCAATTATTATTACTCCCTCCGTCTCAAAATAATTCTTGGGTTTGTATTTTTATTTTTAATATAATTTGTGTTAAAAATAAAAAAATTAATTTAATCATTGCAGTTTGTAATAAAATTGAAAATGTAAATTAGATAATAATTTTAAAATAGAGGGAGTATTATTTTTTTTTTTTTATCAAACCGAACATTATAGGTTCGGGGAGCGGGCTTTATGACTGCGCCATCAATTTGTACTAATTAAGGTCCTTAGAAAAGTAGGGGGAAAAAATGCTTAGTGGTGGACTTCAAAACCGACGACAAGTGAACTTCCTGGGATAAAGAAGATACAAGAAAGTCTCACATTCATACAAATTAGCATTCCACTGGATTTTCTTCTTCCCAAAAGAAATGGTGTCTGTAAATAAATACTACCGTTCAACTTTGCCGTCTCTTGCCCATGGGCTCAAAAGTCCAATACGAACACTATAAATTATTCGTATACGTCAAATTGAGTATGTATCCTACATTGAAGGTCTATGTAGTGCAGAGTTTTGAAAATAGAAAAAGAAAAAAAAACTTAATTTTATTATTATTTTTTTAAAAGTCACCACGGTTGAGCCAACTTAAATATGAAAAAAAAAAAACATCTTGCAAATCCTTTTTGTGTAATTTAAACATGGATCTACTCTTAAAAATTACAATACACTAACCACTAGGCTGTTATACAATTCTAAAAAGAAAAAAAAACTTAAATATATCTTTTTTCAAAAATAAAATAAATTATTTATTCCATAAAAAAGAAAGAAAGTTTATTAAACAAATTAAAATTGAATTCCGTGTTAAATGTGCATGTATAAGAAAGTCCTCTACATGAAAGTTTTAAGTGCATAACACTTTGATATCATTTCACCACCGATTACTGTACATTTTATTTTTTAAATTTTAACTTTGTAAGTAGTAGTATCACTTCATCAATCTCACATTGATCGACTAATTAATTGAAAGATAACTATCACAGTAAGTCCAATTTTCTCAATGTAATGTTAGTTCTCAATTAATTTATATTCTGCTATATACATAAGTCTCTCTACTAGCATATGGATTCTCACTTATTATATCTTATTGATGAGTAAAACCCCACTAAAAATGTTTGCAAACAAATTTTATAAATTCGTAGTTGTAGACAGTGCACAATATACTAGGTAAACGATGGTGAGCACGTACATTGATTTGCCCTCAATACGTGTTGGAGATATTGTAATACAAAAGTATTGTATAAAATCAAAATAGATTATTTTATGTTTAAGTATGTTTTCCGTCTCAAAAGAGTTTTTCAGTCGGATTTTTCATGTTAAAATGAAATTCTAATTAAGCAGGACAATATATATACTGTTCATTTTGGGTGTGAAATTTTATTTTTTCCCATGTGTTTATAGTGTTCTTTGCTATTGAATTTTAATGAAACGTTGCTTTAAAGTTTGTGGAATTTATTTGTAGTAAAAATAGGATTATTGAGCCAATTTGACCACCTACGGTATTTTGCATGCTATCGAATGTCGATTGCTCTCATGTTCGTGGGAAAATCTATCACTTCCTTCCCACGAGCGACGAGCCAATAATGATTAAATATTTTGACTATAGAAAACTGATAATGACAGCTTAATTGCCAGAATTAGGTAGATGAGTCCAAGTGAATTTCCGCTTTTTCCGAATTTAGATGTCAAAGCTGCCAGCTATTAAGAAACAACTCTTTTATGAATCCATTTCCCAAAAAAAAAAAAAAAAACTCTTTTATGAATCGTTCGGCTCAAGTGAATTTTATAAATTGTTTTTTAGAAAAAGAAAAAGAAAAAGAAAAAACCCTGCAGAATCACGTGTCATGCAGCATTTGAAGCCCCAACACAAATATAGATTTTTACAATTACAATTCTCATCTTTACATTCAGAAGGGAAAAAAAAAAAGATTCAAACTTAACCATAAATTTTCGTATTCCTGTTAATTAATATTGTATTCTTCTATCGTTGTATTTTCGATCGGCCTTTCTCTAACCTGAGTTTAAGAATCTAACCACAAAAATACGTGGATATCTTAATTGAAGCCCCAACACAAATATGTTTGTTTCTTTTTTTAGTGTGTGTTTGTAAGTGTTTTTTGTATTGAGAATGTAAGAAGGTGTATTGAAAATATAAAAAGGTATGCTGGGATGGGACATTTATTATTTTAATATTATGAAAAAATCATCCAAAAAACAAAATAAATTTTTAATTGATTTATAATGTAACCCAAAATTATTACCCGTAACCAAGTTAATCAGGATAGTATGAAATTCAATGCAAATTTTGTCAAACTTAACAAATTTTCATTAGTTTTTTTAA